CTATGTTTTTATTACTTTAAGCTTTTAACTAACATTTTGCTTTTAGCTCTTAGCTACTGGTAGATAATTTTTCTAGCTTTTCACCATTTTTAGCTACTCCTTTGGCTCTTAAGTTCTTTTGCTACCTAAAATGTTTATCTTTTTTTGTTGCTTTAAGCTTGCATTTATCTAGTTTTAACAGCTCTTCCTACTTTATTGTGTTTGACCATATTTTACTAGTCTTTTGTTATTTTAAGGATTTAAGGAACTTTTTGCTGCTTTTAGCTAGCTGCTACTGCTTATAACCCACTTCAAGGTATGTACACGTCACGTCTAAGTTCGTGATGTAGTGCAATAACCAGCCACACAGGTAATTACATTTTTTTTGGTGAATTTTTAGTTACAATATTTAGAATATACAAAAGAACATATACAAAATTTAACCTGGGCCCTTTTTAACTAAAGAACAAAATGTCAGTGTTGTTCCCTGTAAACCGTCGCTCCAAATTTGCTCAATGTTAAAAGAAAAAAAAGTCAAATGTCAATAGAGGTTCCTTCAAGTGCGCTTCCTGAGGTAAACTCACGGTGGTCAGTCAGAACAACTGGCACAATCATTCCACAGACAGATGGAGTTCCGCCTGGTTGTGGACTCTGGATTCAAGCTGGGAGGCTCGCCATCAAACAGTCACACATCAGCCTTCTTGGACATGAGGGACGGGACCTTCAGTTCTCTCCAACTCATCCAAGAAAGAAAAAGACCTGACCTGCATTTACAGCAGGTTACAGTCCAAGTTCTCATTTAATATAGTCATCAGGTTCAATACACTAACAAATCAAAATGTTGTACAACAATAACACATTTATCAATTAGAAAAATTAACTATAAAGTTAACAAGTAGAGAACTGTGATTGGTTAATAGTTTTCACTTCTATCACAGTGTCAGAATAATCTGCTCTAACCACTTTTTAAACATAACATACAGTAAAATTTGATTATTTGGTCACATTTTAACAGATAAAATAACTCATTTACAAATTACACATTATCCTGTACGGTAAAATGCATAAAATTCCTTTCAAAAGATGTAACATCTCTGTTTTATCTGTTTAACAATGTTGTTTCCTAGATTTTACCCTAAAAATGAGATAAATTGCCTTTAGCTTAATGAATTACATCATAACCATTTTTTTCTGTCTTTTACTCATGAATTAACACAATTTTTCACCAATTATTAATGTAATCACTACTAAATTATTTTAGTGACAAAGTGTGCTTCACACAGATTTTTCTACTAAATTAAATAAATTGTAAAGTGCAACATAAATTATTTGTAAATAACTGAAAATGTGCACAACAATGTTCTTCCTTTCCACTGTCATCATTGTGACACGTGCTCATTTAGCATCTAGCAACAGGAGCGCTAACTTACCAAGGAATGGGGTGATTTAACACATTAACTTGCTCCCTCGAACTTATCCAAACTCTGAACAAGAGTTTTACAAAGTTAGCATCATAAACTGACTCACACACAATTTAAGTACGTAAAATACTTTTTAAAAATACATTTTATCTCTCTTTCTCTCCTCAGCACGTGTGTAAACGAGCTGCAGCTGAGTGAGCTCCGATATCAAGCTAATTTTTTTTATGCATCACACTTCCTGTCTAGCCAAACAGACATCCGGTTTTCAAAATAAAACAAATAACGCAAATGACATCAGAAATCAAAAATATGTATTTTAACCCTTACAAAGGTGGGTTACACTTTTGCTACTGTAAGTTTTAGGAAACTGCTGTTTGTATTTAGCCTTTTCTTAATTTTAGCTGCTATTTTCCTAAGGCAGCTTTAAACTAACTTTTAGCTGCTTTTAGCTAGCATTTAGTCACTTTTAGCTACTATTGTAAGCTTTTGGTGAACTTTTTGTAGCTTTTAGCTGGCGTTTTACTAATTGTAGCTGGTCTTTTGCTAAGGAAGCATTTAACTAGCCTTTTTTTATTTTACTTTAAGTGTTTAGCTAAAAGTAGCCAATCCTAGCTGAAAGTAGCAAAAGCTTAGCTAAAATCTTAAAGTATTAAAACATTAGTGAGAAGCTAAAAGTAACAAAATATAAGCTACACTTTCCTTTCAAGCTTCATGTCAAAAACTTGGTAAAGCTGGGTTTATTTATTAGAAATAGATCCTCTCTAGGCAGCACAGTGGCGCAACTGGTAGAGCTGCTGCCTCTCAGCGAGCAGGTCCCTGGTTCAAACCCCGGTCCAGGGGCCTTTCTGGGTGGAGTTTGCATGTTCTCTCCGTGTATGCGTGGGTTTTCTCCGGGTACTCCGGTTTCCTCCCACAGACCAAAAACATGCATGTTAGGCTGATTGGTAACTAAATTGTCCCTAGGTGTGAGTGAGAGAGTGAATGGTTATTTGTCTCGTTTGTCTCTATGTGGCCCTGTGATGGACTTGCGACCCGTCCAGGGTGTACCCCGCCCCTCGCACAGTGATTGCTGGACATGGGCACCAGCGACCCCCGTGACCCAAAATGGAATAAGCGGGTAAAGATAATGGATGGATGGATGGAGATCCTCTCTAACATTAAACACTAAACTACCTCCATTGACTACGGTGACATTATTTACATGAACACCCCTACAAGCACCCTGTAACCATTAACTGGTCATCTTTAACTTCACACAGACTCTCTCACTGGTACATTTTCATCTTTAAATCACTTCTTGGTCTGCTGCCTTCATACATCTCCTACTTGTCACTGTGTGAGTGCAGCTACAGCGTGTGCTTCAGGACATTATTACCTGCAGTGTCCCTTCAGTGCAGACTGAACTTGGCAAAATGGCCTTCTCCTACTCCGCTTCTGTTTTCTGGAATATCTTGGAAAAACATCTGAAGCTCTCGACCTTGACCTCTCTAAGTGGCTTCAAACATCTGCAGACATGTTCCTGTTTTTAATATTTTATATCGCTTTATAATGTAGCTGTTTTTGTTTCATTTTTATTTAATTTCTTCTATTTACCTTTAATATGCTTTTTCTATGACTGTCTATTGTTATCATCTGTGTTCTTTGTTTAAAACAGTTCTCTCTAAATGAGTTCTCGTGGCTCATTTAGACTAACATGTACAAATAAAGGCTGAATGAATGAATAAAAGCTCAAAGTAGCAATAGACTAGGAAAAGGCAGGTAAAAGGTAAAGTGGCTAGAATAAGAGTCAGAGTCAGAGTTTCTTTATTGTCATTCGCACCTCATGTGGTACATGTGGTGGAGCGAAATTATGTACACAGGGTCCCAGTTACATCCAACAATAAAATGTAAAAGAAAAACAGTAATAACATCTAAGATATGAACTAAGAAAAACATCAACTAAATATAAACTAAGCACTCATAACATAAAAACATCACGTCGAACATCAGCACAAACATGAACATGAGTCTGTGTGAGCAGATGAGCACACATGAACACATCAACATTAAACAGGTCAGCAGCAACATGAAACAGATCAGCAGCAACATGATGTGATTTTTCCACAGTGATTATTCTGGTTAGAGCTTCATGAGCCTAACAGCTTCAGGGTAGAAGCTGTTCCTCAGTCTAGTGGTTCTACGCTTAATGCTCCTCAACCTCCTTCCTGAGGGGAGTGGGGCAAAAAGTGTGTGTGCTGGGTGAGTGGGGTCCTTCATGATGCAGGTGGCCCTCTTCCTGCATCTGGAGGTGTAGATGTCTGTGATGGTGGGGAGACTGACTCCAACATCTTCTGTGCAGCCTTCACCACTCTCTGCAAAGCTTTTCTTTCTGCAGCTGTGCAGCCTCCATGCCACACATTGATGCTGGAGCACAGGATGCTCTCCACTGCACACCTGTAGAAGGAGGTGAGGACTGATCTTCCCAGACCAGCTCGTCTCAGCCGTCTGAGGAAGTAGAGTCTCTGATGAGCTTTCTTGATCAGGCTGGTGGTGTTGTTGCTCCAGCTGAGGTTGTCATTCAGGTGTACACCCAAGTACTTGTAGCTGGAGACCACTTCCACCACAGATCCTTTTATGTTCAGGGGGGTGTAGGTGTTTTTGTTCCTTCTGAAGTCCACAATAGATAAATAGATAGAAAATAGAATAGATAAAAGAAAGAAAATGCTAGCCAAGTAGCAAAAGGGTAGCTAAAACCTTGAAGTAATAAAACACCATTGTGAAGCTAAAAATAGAAAAATGCTATTTATTCTAGCTACTTTAGCTTTAAAACTAGCCTTTTGCTACATTTAGCTAGTCTTTTGCTACTTTAATTTTTTAGCTGATCTTTTTTGCTATTTTTAGCTCGCTTTAGTTTTTTTTTAGATTCTCACTACAGTTTTACTTTTATGTTTTAGCTATCCTTTTAATTCAGTTTATTTATAAAGCACCAAGTCACAACAGAAGTTGTCTCTGGGCACTGAACAGAAACATTTATATATAAAAATTATAATTTAACATGATTTATCTGAGGAGCAGACTGCTTTGAATTCAACTCCATGCAGAACTCTCATCTTTTGAGCAAGCATGAAGGCGACAGTGGAAAGGAAAAACTCCTTTTGACACTTTTCTTGGTGACTGTTTGCTTTTACATAGCATTTAGCTGTTTTAGCTTTTACCTAGTGGTGTGCTCCTTTTAGCTTTAGTTCAGATGCTGCTTCACGCTGGTTTTAGCTGTTATTCAGCTCTTGGCATTAATGCAGATTTTGTTCATTTCTCTGGTTCTGATTCTCTGACATGTATGTTGGATGGGGGAAGGGCGTGCAGAGGAAGTGTGTGTGCGTGTGTGTGGTGGGGGGAGGTGGGGGTGAGGAATGCTCGGTATGTGCGGACGGACGACAGGAAGGCGCAGATCAGTTTTGCGCCTTTAATTTAACCCAAATTAAAACCATTTATTTAGGGATTATAATCGGATGCGCACAGATTAATCGTCTCCATTTGCATTTTTTTTCCCAAAGGCGCGCGGGTCCAGTTCGAGTTCTGGCTCTCCTTGTTGGATGTGGATCCACCCTGCAGAGGCGGACATGGTTCGGTCTGTAGTAGGTGGGACTCCCGAACCGAGCGGTCTGCAGCAGGACGTCGTAGATCAATGAACCGGACCGGAGGGCTGGTCCATCTCCTGCTGCGCGTCTGATGTGTCAGAACACCTTCAATCCAGGATTTTGTTTCTTCGGGTTGTTTGCTGTTAACCAGCCGGTCCAGGATGTTATAAACCCGCTGGGTCTCGTCGCATCATTTGTTCTGATTATTTGTTTGAACTGAAAAACCTCCAGGATGATTTTTGCAAACACAGGAAATCCTCTGAAAACAACCAGCCGAAAGCAGGTCGGTATGAAACCCACACATCCCTCATTTCTGCTCCAGTTTTTATCCCAAACCTCAGGGTTTAACCATCACATGACACTGGAGAGCCCTTTCTGGGTACCAGATGTCACATTTTTTATTTATTTAATTCAGTTGATTAGTAAATAATGCTCATATCCATCAGACTGGATCTGCAGCTCTAACCCATACCTAAACCATTCTGTCCAGATAACCTTGTTTTGTCCAGAGGCTGTCCAACTCTGGTCAATACGTATGACGGGAACTGTAGTCCATTTTATAGGTTAATGAGTGGGTGAATCCAGGGAGAGGACTTCATGTCCTCATGTGATGTACAGGATGTCAGAGAGCTGAGCTGAGCTGAAGGATCCCAGTTAGAGGCTCTTTTTACCCACTTCATATTTAGGTGATGCTCGGAGAAGCTCTGATGAAGAATAAATCTGGAATAAATGTGGTTCGGTTCACCGTACGCTACTTTATCTGAAGCCCGTTCGTGAATCCCTGCAGGGAAGAACGAGTTTTCGGTGTTAATCAGCTGCGAGAAGATGCCCTTGTGAATGTCATCATCAAGCTGCACCCCTGAGGGCCCCCTTTTCCACAGGACGGAGATGTTGAGTGACCATTGGGCGATCAAAAGATTAACCAGATCTCTCAGCAGTGAAAATCTCCGGAGTCACTGAGCACTCTGAAAGAACAAATATTAATGTTTTTGCAATGTCCATGGAGTCCTACTGAGACCTGCGTGACCTAGAGACTGTGGTGCAAGAACCACTGGTGGGACTCGGAGAAGAATTTGGTATTAGCTTTACAATATAAATACCAAGATAAACCTTCCATCCATTGATTTTTCTCCACTTATCTGTGATCGGGTTGTGGGAGCAACAGTTCCAGCTTTCCAGCTCCTCCTGAGGGGAACCAGGGCCAAGACCATAGAGACCGCCATCGAGTTTTGGGTCTGTCACAGGGTCTCCTTCCAGTCTGACATGACTGGGAAACCTTAAGCACTCAGGAGCCTGAACGACCTCAGCTGACTCAATGAAGAGGAGTGTCTTCTCCAAGCTCCTCTCCTTATCTCTAAGGCTGAGCCTGGTCATTCTACAGAGGAAGCCCATTTCGGACGCTTGTACCCTGGACCTTGTTCTTTTATGATCCACACTTCAGGATCACAAGCCAGGGTTGAAACGTAGGTGGACCAGTAAATTGAGAGCTTTGCCATTTTTCACAGCTCCTTCTTCTGGAACAATGGTCTCGTTACCGTGGACGAGTCTGCGATCTGTTGATGGATCTCCTTAATCCTACCATCACTCCCAGAATTCTTAACTTCTCCACTTGAGAGAAAGACTCAAGCTGAGTCTTTAATACTATAATACTGTCTAGGAGCAAAAAGTACAAAAACGTGATGAACTTTGATATTTGTATACAATTGTTGTGGGACAGAAACACAACCAGACCCACAGCAGCAGTATATGTGGTGTTCTTAGCTTCCAGTACTTGAACATCTGCTCACAACTGACTCATGTTCAGGCTGCTGTTTAATATACCATATTATTTTACATCATTATTGTTCAGCATGCATCTTAGATCCTGTATACTGGTTCTTTTTATACTTTATAGTTTTGCCATTTTTGGGTGTAACTGGGACCTTGTGTACACAATTTCGTTCCACCTCATGCACCACATATGATGCAAATGACAATAAAGAACCTTGGACCCATGAGATCTTAAATCTCTAAACCAGCGTACGGGTTAACGGCTTGGCCAGTTTCGATCCAATGTAAACTGTAAACTTGTGCTCCTGGTTCCTGTCTGAACTAGTTATTTTTGTGTTAGTTCTCATTATACTCCCAAAGACTAAACATTTGAGACTGTCATCTTCCAAGCCACCCTGCAGAGACTATTGAGAGTTCATTGAGCAGTCGTTGTGGGACCAGCAGACATCACGAGTGAGAAGACATTAAGAAATCCTCAGATCTACCGGTAAATACGAGCCGATACTGATGTTCTTCCATCAGCCTCTGGCTACTGTTGATGAAGAAAAATCTGAAGATAAACAGTTTGATACATGGTACCCTTCTACTTGGTCACTAGGCACTCCTCCAGAACCATACTGCCTTTGCTGTAGTCAGGAGGAGACCATGGTGGTGGAGCCACCCCTGACTGATGCAACAGAGAAGGTTACAGTTTGTCGACTTCCAAGAACTGAGGCTAGACTACCTGCGCACAGAGCAGGCCATGTTCGACTAGCTCTTACAAAGGGTTGGCGAATGTCTGGACCCTGGACTCAAGTTGTCCGTGATCCCTGATCTAGGCTACAGGTGACAAGATGGGACTGCAAAGTCAAAAAGAACATTGTGTTTATTGAGTGATAGCAGAGAGATCAGTGAAAGACTTCCCTCACAGATCGCTAAGAGTCTGTTTTGAACCAGAGTTGATGCAGACCGTGCTGATAATAGTGTTCACTAAAAGAACTTCAAGGAATCATCAGAAGGCCTCAAAGATCATTTAGCACTCCCTAAAAAGAAAACAGACACTTGACAGATCTAATATATTTCATGGACACTGGTCTCACCTCTTCATAGAGGTGGTAGAGGAGATCTGGACCCTCGGTGCACTCCCAAACCAGAGCAAATACCAGACCTTTATCTGTTCAAGGAACTCACAACATTTAAGTATGAAGGAACAATTTTTTTCGTCATTAAAAAATGGGTTGTGTATCTTTGGCTCTTGGAGTGGATTCTCCTTTGGTTCTGGACAGATGGTGTTATTCTGCCTTTGATCTGATCTGCAGAGGGTTTGGGCTGGCTGGGAGCGATTTTAATGAATGAGTAAAGGGAAGGAAATGCTTTGCAGGGCAATGTGGTGTGTAGTGGCATTGAAAATAACCCTGCAGATTTAATCCTGGTGTGATTCTTAAAGGCCTGCCTATTAGAAATTATCTTTTTGGGTGGACAGAATCATAATTGTGCAAAAGATTTATTTCTGCTTAGCGTGGTAACTCACTGGAGAGAAGCAAACGCTTTGATTTGACTTTTTGGCTGTTCAAATCAAGGGGTGGATATCTGAACAATTGTTGTTTTGCAACAGCCAATAATGACGGTAGCAGTTAGCTTTAGCACTTAGAAGACTTTCTGCAGTGAGTATCAGAACATTTTTGCCAAGATACCCATGTAATGCAAAATTTCTGACAATGAAAAGGTTAATAAATAGTGTTCTCTTAAGTCGCTATAAGATGTTAAGTACTGGTGGTTGTTAAGTCACACTCTGACTTACTGACAGCTTGTAAATTAGACGTTAGCTCGTTAGTTTATGAGTTAGCTGTTAGCTCATCAGTTAGTTGTTAATTTATCAGTAAGCTGTTAGTTTGTCAATTAGCTTGTTGCTCCTTAGTTAGCCGTTAATTAATCAGTTCACAGTTAGGTTTTAAATGAGCTGTTAGTTCATTACTTAGCCATTAGTTAATCAGTTAGCTGTTAGCTCACCAGTTA